AAGAAATCGAGACCCTAAATAGACCAATAACAACCTGGAAATTGACAATGTCATAAGAAAACTACCTACGAAAAAAAAAAAAAAAGCCCTGGACCAGATGGCTTTCCCACAGAATTCTATAAAACATACAAGGAGAAACTGATACCAGTCCTATTGAAAGTATTCCAGGCAATTGAGAAAGATGGCTAACATCACATTGATACTCATACCAGGTAAAGATCCAACAAAGAAAGAGAACTACAGGCTAATATCCTTGTTGAACATGGATGCTAAAATTCTCAACAAGATCCTAGCAAATAGGATCCAACAACACATCTCAAAAATCATCCACCATGACCAAAAAAAAAAGAAAGAAAATTTATTAAGCTTATGACTTGTGCATTTTGTGTGTGTGTAAAGGTTTACATCAATAAAAAGCTTGTCAAAAATAAATTATTATTAAAGTAAAACATGCTTTCCTTTTCTTTCTTTTTTTTTTTTTTTGAGTTGGAGTCTCACTTGGCTGCCCAGGCTGGAGTGCCGTGGCATACTCACAGCCACTGCAGCCTCAACCTGCTGGGCTTAGGCAATCTTTCCGCCTCAGCCTTCCAAGTAGCTGGAACTACAGATGCGTGCCACCATGCCTGGCTAATTTTTGTGATTTAGTGTAGAGACGAGGTCTCACCAAGTTGCCCAGGCTGGTCTCAAACCCCCGTGCTCAGGCAATCCACTCGTCTCGGCCTCCTAAAGTGCTGGGATTACAAGATAAGCCACCACACCCAGCCAAAATATGCTTATTAAAGAAAAAAAAGAAGAAGAAGAAGACAAACTGGGCTGGGTGTGGTGGCTCATGCCTGTAATCCCAACAGTTTGAGGGGCAGAGGCTCAAGAAGTCCTCTTGCCTCTGCCCCCCAAAGTGTTGGGATTACAGCCTAGTCAACATAGCAAGACCTTGTCTCCACAAAAAAATAAAAATAAAAATAATTAGCTGAATGTGTTGGTATGCACCTGTAGTCTTTACTTAGGAGGTTGAGGTGGAAGAATCACCTGAGCCCAGGAAAATCACGACAGTGAGCTATGATTGTACCACTGCACTCCAAACCCAATTCAAAAGGGAGAACTGAATTCTCTGGGCATGTTTCTAAAAGGCTATTTTCTCCCCCCACTGCCAGAAGTATGAGGGAATTTTTTTTCTAATCTTCACTGTAAGAAGTTGATAGGGCTTCTGGAAGTAAAACTCACAATTTTTGTTTGCCTGATAAAGTCTTTATTTCTCCTTCACTTTTGAAGGATATTTTCGCTAGATACAGACTGCTAGGTTGGTGGGTGGTTTTTTTTTTTTTTTTTTTTTTTAACACTTTAAGTATTTCACTCTACTCTCTTCTTGCTTCACAAAAGTGTGGGGCTCCCCTGAAGTTTTAGAACACTCAGACTTCTCATTGAGCTTCTAACAATTTGTCAATTACAGTTTAATTTTCCTCCCCAGTACAGGCTCCAGGGGTAGTTCCTGCTGTGAGCTTTGGGTCCAGTAAGCTGTGAGTCTCTGATTATGCCTGCCTGTGTCTCCAACTTTGGGATCAGCAGTTTTCCAGGTAACCTCAGTGCTCTGATGTCTTGAGGATGAGCTGCTGATTTGATGGGAAAAAAATGTTTGTTCACCCTTTTTCTTGTTGGGAGGACAGAGTGGCTAATCCTAAGCTCATTATGTGTTAGGCTGTGAACTGGAAGTCTACCTAAACTTATTTTAAAATATTTTAAAAATAAGCTTTTAAATGCTGCAAATGGAAAACCAGTGTCACTTGAGGTCGATACTTGAAGGTAGCTGTAAAAATAAATACAATGGCAACAAGATGATGTTGTTACATTATGGCAAGATTCAGTTGTCTGCCGGAAAGTTCTGAATTCAGGTCCAGCACACTCTTCATTTAAAAGGGAGAGGAGCAGCCAGGCATGGTGGTTCATGCCGGGAGGCCAAGGCGGGAGTGTTGCTTGAGCCCAGGAGTTCAAGACCAGCCTGGGCAATATAGGGAGACCCCATTTCTGTGCGTGCGTGTGCACACACACACGCGCGCGCGTGCACACACACAAAACCAGCATGGTAGTGCATGCTGTGGTCTCAGCTACTCAGGAGGCTGAGTTGGGAGGACCTCCTGAGCCTAGGAATTTGATCACGCCACTGCACTGCAGCCTGGGCAACAGAGCGAGATCCTGTCTCAAAATAAAAAGGGGGCGAAAGGAGTAAGTATCAAAATGGTGTTGAAGACAAGCTAGTACCACATACAGGTTTTTTCTTTGATGTCATCAGAAGTGAAGGAGAGCAAACAGGTAGCAACTGTTCCACAGAATGAAATCCAGTGTCATGGAATGTCCTTTTCCAGCACCTCCTAAAATTACCTCTGTCTTACAGGACCTACAAGAGAAAAATCTAAATTCCTAGGCTTAGCATAAAAGGCTTTTCAGAGTCTCCCTGGTCCTTTCTACCTTGTGAGTGCTTTTCTGTCACATTCCAATGGGTATTAAACACTTTGGCCATAAATCAATTTACTCTCCCAAGTTACTCTATGTTATTTGTTTGTTTTAGGAATAGGTAAACAAACTGTTGCTTGGTTGGACTTCCCCGTTCCTCTCCACTCAATTCAGTCTCGACAGATTTCCCCAGATTCATGTGAAGAAGAAAATCATTTTCAAGCGGTGACATCAAAACAAAGTGTAAGACATCAAACAGGCTGTCCAAAGTAAATCATACACTTTGTGCACGAATACAATTCCTATGTCAGTCATATGTCTCCGGACAGTTTGTGAGGGGGTGGAGAACATCCAAAGGCACTCATGAAACAGTTGTCGGCGGTGATGTCTGCCTAGTTCCTACATTGCCCTCCACAGTGGATGCTGGAGTGAGGAGTCTGCTCAACCAGCGATTTTTTTCTTTCTTTCTTTCTTTTTTAGAGACAATGTCTTGCTCTGTCACCCAGGCTGGAATGCAGTGGTGCAGTCATAGCTTATTGCAGCCTTGGACTCCTGGGCTCAATCCTCCAGCCTCAGCCTCCTGAGTAGCTGAGACTACAGGCATGTGCCACCATACCTGGCTAATTTTTATGTTCCACTCAGTGATTTCCATGAAGCTAATTCTGTGCACCAGCTATCCCGTGGCTCATCAGTACAGAAGCAGGGGATGTGGGAAGGTACGAAGCGTCTGGGGTATTTGGAATTCTGTGAGTCCGTGGACATCTCTGTCTGAGCACACAGCTTTGGGCCAGCCTCTCATCTGCACAGACCCACCCGCAGATGTGTGCACTGCAATTCAGGGACATGGCCCTTTGACCAGTAAGTCCGGACAGAGTTCACTCCCACTTGGCTCTCAGAACTTGCTCAGCTGCCTCCTTCTACAGGAAGCCTTCCTGGCTCCTCCTGTGCTTTCACACCAGGGCCTGGCAAGGAGCCTGGCACAGAGGGTGCTGTCAGGAGTCCCAACGTGTGCTCCATGTGCCTGGAGTGGGCAGAAGGCAGTAGTGTTGCTGTCAAAGAAAACCAGAGCTGGGCAGTAGTTAAAGCAGTAAAAGTAGTTTTTACCCCTTTAACTATTACAAGAGGGGAAAAGAGAGCTCAGTATAGAACTGGGCTCAAGTTTGAATATAATACAGACAAGTGGAAATTCATAGGCCAGGAGCAAGTGTTGGGGTGGTAGGTGGAAAAATCCCAAGGCTGTGGGACTCTGGGATTCTTGCTGAAGGCAGGCCATGGTGCTCAGACATCACCTGGGGAATGTGGGATGTGAGGGGTTTGATCAGATACTGAGATGGGGATTCTGAGATGGGGAAACTGACTTGACAGGATTTTTGCTATGACTGGGCGATGCCAAGACGGGCACAGATGCTCAAAGGTGGAGGCTGAGTTGAGAAAGGGCTCAGAGGAAGGAGCCTGAAGTTTGGTCAAGGAGAGGGAGAGCGATGTCACCAGCCCCATGTGCCTCCCTGTTGGCCCCGCCCGTTCCTTTCCACTTCGTTGCAGGGCCTGGACTTGATCTGGCCCTGCCTGGTGGACACTTCTGTCATCTCTGCCTGCACCCAGGCTAGGACAGAGGGGTCTGCTCCTTCCTTCTGTCCCGTCAGTCCCCAGCCCTGGTGGCCACTCCCCTGCCCCCCCCAGGATGCTCTGCGGCTGCCGAGCCAGGAGTCTGTGAGGGACTCAGGCCTGGGGGGACACAGGCATCTGAGGGAGGGGCCGGGGAAGTGAGGAGGGGCAGGGGCTCCATCTTGGAAGGGCAACGAGCAGATGGAGTCTTCCTCTTCCAGGGTGGTGTCAGGGACCACAGGACCAGGCCACGTGGCTCTTCACGTGGACGTTCTCAAAGGGCTCAGTTCCTGCCAAACCACAGTTCCCATGTCCACAGCTTAATTCTTTCACCTGGTCACCTTGAAACCCTGCCACCTTCCACAGGGGTTACCTCAACAGCCTTTGGATGGTTCCCTGCTGCCCATCCAGACCCCCTACCACGAGCCCATCCATCTCGGCAAATCAAGACCCTCCTCCTTCCTGGGTCCCCCACAGGGTAATGAAGCTCCAGCCAGCCACAGGACCACTCTGGTCTCCCAGACTTGCCCCAAGCTCCCACCTCAGGTTCTTGCTCAGGCCAGGTGTCCCCTGCCCCACTGTGACCCAGTCTCTGCACCTTTCAGTCTTGGCTGCAATGCTACCTGGGAGACCAGGAACCTCTTCACTCCGCCTTTCCTCAGCTCCTGGCCTGTGGCTCTCAGGCTACACCTCACAGTTGGGACTTGCCTTCCCCCAGGCCTGACGCTCTGAGGTGAAGGCCCTGGCTGCCATGTCACCCGAGGCCTGCGGGCAGTGTGGTCCACCAGCAGCTCAAGCTGAGGGTAGGAGGGCTACAGAATTCCCCGCCCACCCACCTCTGTCAGCTGCCTCCAGTGCCCTTGGGGGAAGGAGAGTTGCCCACTAACAGGTCACCCTATGTGGGTATTTGTTTTCTTGTGCTTGCTGTTTCCTGCTCTCTGGGTGCACAGGCCTAGGCAGGCCTTGCCCCTAGGGCAGGCTGCCAATTACCTCTTCCCCTTCTCCTTCTGCCGAGGAAGCAGCTGGGTGGCAGGTGGGCCAGCCGCTGATATAGGCCGGCTCACTCTCCCTTTCTACCTCCCCAGGTTGCACATTCTTTGTGCGTTGGCCTTGAGTTCGTCATAGAGACAATGTCGAGACTTTTGATGGAGTGGGATAGGGTTCCCTTTCCTTTTTTTTAAATTTTAATTTTAAAGATGTGGGGTACAATTCAGGGTTAGGTATACAGATGGTCACTGTACACGTAAAGTTTGGGCCTCACTTTGGTCCCCACATCACCTGGTTTGAGATCAGGTGCTTTTATTGATGAAGTGTGGTGACCGCCCCCCAACCCCCAGCAGTGTCCCACTACTACCAATCCCTTTCTTACAGTATTATGGTAACTGTTCAGGGTCTGCTTATGAGTGAGAACACGTGATACTCAGTTCTTTGTTTCTGTGATAAATCGCTGAGTACTATGGACCATGAATCCATCGAAGTTGCTACAAAGTTCATAATTTTGTCTTTATGGCTGTGGAATATTTCATTGTGTATATGTACCACATTTTCAAAAATCCTGTCCACTTTTGATGGGCAGCATGGTTGGTTCCATGTTTTTGCTATTGTGAATAATGCTGCAGTAAACATATGTGTGCAGATATCTTTTTCAGAGAGTGATTTGAGTTCCTCCAGGTATATTCCCAGATGGGGGATTGCTGGGTGGTATGGAAGGCCAATTTTTAGATCTTTTAGGAATCACCGCGTTGTTTTCCACAGAGGTTGTACTAGTTTACATTTCCACCAACAGTTGAGAAGCATTCCCCTTTCCCTGCATCCTCTTCAGCATCTGTTGTTTTTTGAGTTGATCATGGCCATCCTGACTGGAGTTAGGTGGTATCTCAGTGTGGTTTTAATTTGCATTTCTTTGATTAATGAGGCTGAACATTTTTTCATGTATCTGTCGGCTGCTTGTACGTCTTCTTTTTAGAAGTGTCTATTCATATCTTTTGCCACTTTGTAATAGGGCTGTTTTTTTCTTTTCAGCACATTTGAGTTTCTTGTAGATCCTAGGATTCCCTTTCCTGATGTTCCTTGTGTTTTTAGCCTACCAGGTGCCCCGTAAAGGGGGCAGGCGATTGGCAGGACTTGGCATGTCTAGAACCCTGCCCATCGTGTCAAGGAGGGGCATGTTGTTGGCTCTGGATGGCATCTCATGGTATGTTGTTGGCTCTGGATGGCATCTCCCTGTGGATGGGGACAGGGTCACCCCAGATGGAGCTGGAGGGGGGTGAGACCTCTGGCCTTCTTGGTTTTGCTCTTGCTGGTCTCTTCCCTCTGGCCCCCTCCCTACTCCCACGTCCCAAGGATTCCCATCAGCTCCCTCACCTCTCTCACTGCTGCCAACTGCGACCCCACAAGAGGATCTCACACTCTTCTACACACAATTCTTTAAAAAACGTTTTTTGTAGAGAGGAGGTCTCACCATGTTGCCCAAACTGGTCTCGAACTCCTGGCCTCAAGCTATTCTCCTGCCTCGGTCTCCCAAGGCCACTGCACCTGGCCTGCTCATGATCTTAGAGCGAGGAAAACATGTGGTTTCCGTTTGCAGGCCTCAGTCTTCCCTGCCCCTCCACTCCACCCACTTGACAGCCAGGCCTGAGCTCTTTGGAGAACCCTGGGAAGGGAGTGTAGAGCCCAGCACACCCGCAGGTGTGTGATATGAAATGTCATCATGGAGTTGATGCACATATGTGAACACATGGTGTCGAGAAGGAAAGAAAACACATGCACATGTGTGTAAGGTGGGAGTCCAAGAATAAGGCTGCAGGGTGGGAGGGAGATGTGTTGTTCTGGTCCCTGACAACCCAGAGGAATGGGTGGCCGGAGAGAGCCAATGGCCAGAACTTGCCTGGGACAGTGACATTCACAGAGCCCAAGCAGCGGGGCCAAGCAGTGGTGCTTTCAGGAGACTTGCTGATGCACAAGAGCTTCACACAGACGCTGGCAGTAAAGGCGACAGAAGAGGGGGCCAAGGCCAGAACCCAAGTCTCCCCACACAGACAGGCCGGCCTGGCAGGGGCTCCGTCCCATGTCTATCCCATGTCCAAGGTCTGTGCACCTGAAGCAGCCAGCCCTGACGCTGACAGCTCTGGACTTAGATGGCTGAAGGCTCAGGACATGAATGGCTCAAGGGTGGCCCATTGGGACCGCCTAACACTGTCCTGAGTAGGCACGGAGAAGACGTTGGGCCAGGGGAGGGTTATCTGCCCAGGCTCGGTCAGAGGCTGTTGGCAGGGCCTACACCCAGCACCTGATACGGGTCCAGTAGAGAGCAGAGCCGAAGGGAAAGGGTCAGGTGGGGCCAGAAGAGAGATGATTTTTACTTTTTTAACTGTAAAACAATCATTGATATTAAGTCTTCTTTAGGTGGCTTGGACTTAATTCTTCTAGAATGGCGGGCGGTTGGTTCACCTGAGCACACTGCTCTTGGAGTCACAGGCATGGGCAGGGGAGGGGCAACTTCGGGGCGGCAAGCCTCATTTGACCTGGGACGTGCTGAGCTTAGTGGACTGTGGTGCCTTTGCCTGTTTGTACACTCCGTGTCCTGGGCAAGATGAGTTCTGTGGACTCTGACTTTCATGATGCAGGAGGAAGGAGAGGTGACACCCAG